GGCTGGCTTTGAACCATGATCCTCAGATCTTAGCCATAGCTAGGATTATAGCTGTCAGGCACCAGTTCCTAGCTACAATGGCTTTTTACTAGTACTCTACCACTTGGAGCCACAGCTCCACTTCCAGTTTTCTGACTGTTAATTAGATATAGGAATCTCATGGACTCTCCTACCTTGCTGGCTTCAAACCATGATCCTCATATCTCAGCCTCTAGAGTAGCTAGGTGCAAATCATCGGTGCCTGGCACAATGGCTTATTTCTAACAAGAACTGGGTCACTTTAGTTTTCTTGTTTTTCTGAAGCCTAAATCCCTCCATTCTGGAAAAGGACCATGCTCTACAGGGCATTACCTAGAAGGCCAGAGGTGCCAAAGTACAATTACCTGCATGGTGCTCTGGGTATAGCCGTACTGGGGGTAGCTGTAGCTGTAACTGCCTGTGTTCTGGTCATAGCCCCACTGGGCATAGTAGTTCTGGTACTGCTGGTAATACTGGTTGTAGCTGTAACTGTACATCTGACTATACTCCACTGGCTTTACACGGCTCCTTAAATGATGAAACAAAAATAGGCAAACATAAACAGACATGCCTATAACATTTTCTATGCAATCAACTACTGTCCTAAGTGCTTTATGAAGAGTAATGAACTTAACCCTCAGAACAGCCTTATGCAGTTAGTATTCCAATTTTATAAACAAGGAAGCTGGGTATAGAGAGGTTAAGCATCGGCCCTTGGTTAGAGGCGCACAGCTAATAATACGACACTCACACCCAGGCAGTCTTTCTCCAGTACCCATGCTTTTACAATAAAAGCTTTTTGTTGTTTTTGAGACAAAGTCTTGCTACGTAGCCCAGGCTGGCTTTGAACTTGCAATTCTCCTGCCTCTGTTTCCTTTTTACTACAATTACAAACATACCTGGCTTAAGCTTTGAATAGGTTTCGCTCTCTTATCAACCCCCCCCCCCTCAGTATCTTGGGACACTGTTTTTTCTGATAGTTGCAAAATCCCAGAAAAACATACCTAGAGAAAAATCTGGATTTACAATGATCCAAGCATTTCAAACTACGACATATCTGATTGCTTTCCCCACGAACAGCAGGACAGATATTCCAGCAGAATTATCATTATCACTGTAATGATGTTCTTTTGTTTTTGGTACTAAGGATGGAACCCAGGGCCTTGCACATGCTCAGCACCACTGAGCTACATCCCAGCGATGGCTACCATTTACTTGAGGATTTGTGTCCTTCATTAGCTGGGATTTGTAGCACTGACAGTCACCTGTTTTCACTCTGCACACCCCAACAACAAAGGTATTATTGATTAATTCCTACTATTATAGATGAGAAAACTGAGTCTAAAGTTACTTGCCCAATGTAATGCTTAAGACTGGAGCCAGATTTAATGCCAAGATTTATGCACCTAATACCACACTGTTATATACAACATCTGCCTGACAAGCTCACATCTCACCAGTATTCTATATCCTGCATTCACTTGTCAAGGCCAGGTCCCAGCTGGAGGAAAGCATTCTCAATACAGTGGCTACAGCCACTCCCAACCAAAGACAATGCCAAGCTCACAAAGGATCCACAGCTTTCCAGGATGGAAAAACCATGTGTGAAACTTATGAGAGGGATCCTAAGAATGGACTCAAATTCAGCACAGGGCAACGGGCTTCAGTCACTGTACTCCAAGCAGCCTGACAGTGTCTTCTAAGTGTCAGGAGAGGCTGACACTTGCTTCTGGATGGCTTACAAAGTCCCAAGAGTCCCATCAAGTGCACTTGGTCCTAACAAGTGTGACACAGAATCTCTACAACAAGCTAGACAGGAAATCAAGCTATAAACAGGAGCGGACTATCATTAAAATGACTTTAGGAATTGAAATCCTATATACAAGTAAAGATAATCCATCTATAAATCAATCAACTTCCATTCGGAAATTGTAAACACTCCATGCCAGAAAGAGCTCTACATTTCTTGAAGTTCAATGCCAGCAGGACTCAGGCAGAGTTGTAAGGTGGATGGATTCAATGTTTGTCTGTGGACAGCCTGAAGTGCTCACCTCCACAGGAAGGGTCAGTCAAGGCTGCAGGCAGTCTCCTCTCCTCCTGCCCAGTACTGGCTTGGGTACTCCCAACATTCGCCTATATGACCCGCCCCTTTTATGATTCCAAGGGGATGGACTACTCCCTTCACATGTTCAGTAACTAAAGTACAGACTCCCTGGCCTAGGTCTGTTTTTTCTCCTTCAGACATCTACGCCCACTTTTGTGATTTCTCTACATATAGCGGGTGCATTCATTCCCCAGGATACCTGCTCACCCTCACTCTGGGCTGGAGACACCTCCCTAGAAGCAGCACCGTTACTGACAAAAATTGTTTTGTTTTGCTTTTTGCTGGTCTTCCAGCATGAACTCTGGGCCAGGGCGCTGTCCCTCAGCTCTTCAGCTAAAGGGTAGGGCTCTATCACTTGAGCCACAGCACCACTTCTGGCTTTTTTTGCTTATGTGGTACTGAGGAATTGAACCCAGGGCCTCAAGGCATGCAAGGCACTCTACCACTGAGCCACCTTCCCAGCCCACAAAATGTTTAATGAGGAATAGATACAACAAGGTAGCACCTCCTCACCAAATAAGTCAATTACAGCTGTAATCTGAAGGAAGGGCCTTCACAGGCTGATGACTGAACGGTTACACACCCTTACACACCCGTAACAGCCAAAATGGTCAGCCTGAGAGGAACTGCTAAACAGAACAAGCTTATAAACAAACTTACAAAAGTCTTAAGCCGGAGCTGGGTGTTGGTGGCTCACACCTGTAATCTTTGCTACTCAGGAGGCTGAGATCTGAGGATCACAGTTCAAAGCAAGCCCAGGCAGGGAAGTTCATGAGACTGTTTCTTTTTTATTGGTCATAGGGCTTGAACTCTGGGCCTGGGGACTGTCCCTCAACTCTTCAGCTCAAAGTAAGTGCTCTACCACTTGAGCCACAGCGCCACTTCCAGTTTTCTGAGTGGTTTAATTGGAGCTAAGAGTTTCACAGACTTTCCTGCCTGGGCTGGCTTTGAACCTTGATCCTCAGATCTCAGCTTCCTGACTAGCTAGTATTACAGGCGTGAGCCACCAGCGTTCAGCTCCGAGAGACTCTTATCTCCAATAAATCACTAGAAAACAGGAAGTGGCACTATGGCTCATGAGGTAGAAAGCTAGCCTTGAACTGAAGAGCTCAGGGGCAGCGTCCAGGCCCAGAATTCAAACCCTACAACAGACCAAAAAGAAAAGAAAAAACAATCTTAGGCCGGACGCCAGTGGCCGGGCGCCAGTGGCTCACGTTTGTAATCCTAGCTACTCAGGAGGCTGAGATCTGAGGATCATGGTTCAAAGCCAGACTCAAAACCAGAAGTGGTACTGTGGCTCGAGGGTACAGCACTAGCTTTGAGCTGAATAGCTCAGGGACAGAATCCAGACCCAGAGTTCAAACCTCACACCTCCCAAAAAAAATTTGGCTTGGGTGTAGCCAGTGGTAGTAGTGTGCTTAGTGTTCCCAAGGCCCTGGGTTTAGTACCTAGCACCCTCACTGATAATGACTGCAATTGTATGAAAGTATGAAAGTACTGTATGAAAGTACGTACACTGATTTCACTGAGAAAAGAAAAACGTTACTGCTCTTTTGTTTTGTTTTTTAAACAGAGTCTCTATTGAGCCCAGGATGCATACTTGAACTTAAGATTCTCCTCCCTCCACCTCCCAAGTGTCTGCATCATGGACATGTGCTGACCATGCTTGGCTCTATAGTGAACACTGCTGGTTTTGTTTTGTGCAGGTACTGGGGCTTGTACTCGAGGCCTGGGCACTGTCCCTAAGCGTTTTCACTTAAGGCTGGTGCTTTACCACTTCAACTATAATTCCAATTCTGTTGATCATGTTGGTGCTCTACCACTTGAGTTTTACCTCTTAATTCCAGCTTTTTGTTGGTTAACTGAAAAAAAAAAAGGGGCTCTCATGTTTTTCTTCCCAGGCTGGATTCAAACCTCACTTGTCAGATCTCAGCCTCCTGAATAGTTAGGATTACACGTGTGAGCCACCAATGCCCAGCATGAGCATCATTATTATCTGTGTATGTTTGTGCCAGTCCTGGGGCTTGAACTCTGGGTCTGGGCTCTGACCGAGACCTTCTTTTTGCTCAAGGCTAGTGCTCTACCACTTGAGCCACAGCTCAACTTCTGGCTTTTGATAATTTAATAGAAATAAGAGTCTCACACAAACTTTTCTCCCAAAGCTGGCTTTGAACCGCAACACTCAAATTTCAGTGTCCTGAGTAGCTAGGATTACAGGTGTGAGCCACTGGCACCTGGCTTGTAAGCATTATTTTTGTAATTTAAAAAAAAATGTGCATAGACCCTAGGTTCAACTCCATGCACTTTAAAAGGAAAGAAAAAGAAAGGGAAAGTGAGAGGAAAGAAAGAAGGGACATGAATTTAAAAAAAGCTCTAGATGGTGCTAGGTTTGATGCCAACCAGACCCAGGCAAAAATCCTATTTGATAAATAAAGCAAAAAGAACTAGGACCTAAATAAATAGAGAACTCCTAACAAGTACAAAGTCCTGAGTTCAATCTCTAATACCATCTGAATAAAAAAAAACCCAACATATGTAAATTGACTTGTGCAGTTACTATGAAAAAAATGTGTATGGAGATTAGAAGGGAACTAAGAAATTAGAGTTACTTTGTTTTGAGACAGGCTTTTGATGTAGCCTAGGCTGGCTGCAAACTGATTCTTCTCCCTCAGCCTCCCAACTCCTGGGATTAGAGGTGTGCCCCATTACACCTGGCCATAGTTGTTTCATTTTATTTTTTTCGGGTCCCAGGGCTTGAACTCTGGGCCTGGGCGCTGTCCCTCAGCTCTTCAGCTCACGGCTAGCACTCTACCACTCGAGCCACAGCGCCACTTCCGGCTTTTTTCTTTTTGCTTATGTGGTGCTGAGGAATCGAACCCAGGGCCTTGAGCATGCAAGGCAAGTGCTCTACCACTGAGCCACCTTCCCAGCCCCTCATTTTATTTTTGTGTCAATACTAGGGCTTGAACTTAGGGTTTAGGGGCTATCCCTTAAGCTTTTTGGTGCTCTTACTACTTGAACCACAACAACTCCACTTCCAGTTTTTCAATGATTAATTCAACATAAGAGTCTCTTGGGTTTGTCTGCCCTGGTAAGTCCAGGACTCTGCAGGACTCACGCTTTTGGGATGGCCACACTCAGCCGCACAGGTTTAGACCCCAGTCCTACTGCTCCCTGGCACTCCGTCAGGGCTCGCTTCTGTTCCAATTCATCTGTGAATTTCACAAAACCATAACCCCTGCAGGAAAAAAACCCCAACACGCTATTTAGATCACAAGTGTGATAAAGTCTAAGAATGGAGGCACAGAAAGAAAGGGAAGGGCAAGAAGGCGGGCAGGAATGTGAAAAGGAAAAGGGTTGAGAAGGGAAAGTCCATCTAACAATAAAAAAGGATGAGTCCCATTGGGAAGGCATTCACACAGGGAAATATGGGATGCATGCACTGGACCGTACTGAAATAGTAAGAATTTCTTTTATTTTCTCACCCCTCCTCCGGCACCCCCTCTGAGAGCTTGTCCCGACTTCCAAGGTTGTCAGAGGGTGACTTTGGGGGTAAGCCAGGAGAATTTTGCTGTAGGTTCCCCCCACCCCCCGCAGAGAATTTCTGCTTTGAAGCCCTGGCCTCTGGAGCATAGGAAATTCCTTGTGGACCCCAGTCTGGCCCAACCCATGGGACAGATCCAGATTTTTATTTTATTTTTGGTCAGTCGTGGAGCTTGAATTCTAGACCTGGGCACTCTCACTGAGTTCACTTGAGCCACAGGGCCACTTTTGGTTTGCTGGTGGTTTATTGGAGGTAAGAGTCTCATGGACTTTCCTGCCCAGGCTGGCTTTGGACCTCAGTCCTCAGATCTCAGCCTCCTGAGTTGCTAGAATTATAGACATGAGACACTAGCAGGCGGTGGAAGTCCCACTTTCAGTTTTCCGTTTTCCGTGTCTTCACTTAAGAAGCTCCTTCCCTCCCTATCCACTGGAGAGTAACAAATCATGATCACTATTGTGATGTAGTGGTAATAACAACAGGTGAAGTTTTAATATTTTCAAGCCCCCTTATTTGCCCTGCAGGGCACCAGCATGGGATGCTGAAGTCATGAACAGACCTGATTCTTGCGTTCTTGAGGTCATATTATAGCTGGAAAATAAATTAAGAAAGCCAACTTACTAGCCAAGCACTGTGCTGAATTTTTTTTTTTTTTTTTACAGTTTTCTCATCACACTCCAACAAGTATGTGAAGGTAGAGGTTTGATAGGTTCGGAGAGGTTTGATAACATGTCCAAAGTCATATGTATTAAAAGCAGTATTAAAATCCACATCTGCCAGACTCCCAGAATCTGAGCTTATAACTACTATGGTGGTCAAGAATGAGTCTTTCTTGGGCTAGGGGAATAACCTATACTTGCCTAGCATGTATAAGGCTTCTAGGTTCAATTTTCTCTTGTTTGTTCAGTTGTGGGGCTTGAACTCAGGGCCTAGACCTGTCCCCATGCTCTTTTGCTCAAAGCTAGTGTTGTACCATTTTGAGCTACAATATCACTTCTGATTTTTTTTGGTAGTTAATTGGAGATAAGAGTCTCACAGGGACATTTCAGCCCAGCTGGCTTTGAGCCTCAATTCTCAGATCTCAGCCTCATAAGTAGCTAGGATTATAGGCATGAGCCATTGGAGACCAGCCTCTAGGTTCAATTTCTAGCACAGTAAAAGGAAGGAAAGGAAAGGATACAAAACTGTAAAACAAAAACTGAGAATGAGACTAAAAGATTTTTTTTCTCCCTTTTTTTGAGATAGTCAGGCTGGCCTTGAACTCACAATCCTCCTGTCTCAGCTTCTCAACTGCTAAGATGTACACCATCATACTCAGTTTGAGATGAAAAACTAACTGCACTGAAAGGTTCAGTTAACAATAATAAGGGTGGGCTGGGAACGTGGCTTAGTGGTAGAGTGCTTGCCTAGCATGCATGAAGCCCTGGGTTCAATTCCTCAGTACCACAGAAGTGGTGCTGTAGCTCAAGTGGTAGAGTGCTAGCAGCTTAGGGACAATGCCCAGGCCCTGAGTTCAAGCCCCAGGACTGGCAAAATAATAATAATAATAATGTGTAGGGCTGGGAAGGTAGCTCAGTGATAGAGTGCTTGCCTTGCATGCACGAGGCCCTGGGTTCAATTCCTCAGCACCACATACACAGAAAAAGCTGGGAGTGGCGCTGTGGCTCAAGTGGTAGAGCACTAACTAGCCTTGAGCTGAAGAGCTGAGGGACAGCGCCCAGGCCCAGAGTTCAGGCCCACAACTGACAAAAAAAAAAAAAAAAAAAGTGTAAAAGTTTAACAATAATAAAGTGTAAAATAAAGTAAATAAAGTGTAAAAATAAATGCAAACACTAAATAATTTCCTATGTGAGTAATTCTCCCTCCCTCTCCCCACCCCATCCTGAGGCTTGAACTCAGGGTCTGGGCTCTGTCCCTGAGCTTCTCTGTGCTCAAGGCAAGAGCTCTACCACTTGAGCCACAGCTCCACTTCTGGCTTTTTCTGATTATGTGGTACTGAGGAATGGAACCCAGGGCATCATGCATGCTGGGCAAACACTCTACCACTAAGCCACATTCCCAGCCCCTATGTGAGTAATTTATATCCTTTAATCCTTACATCAATCCGAAGAAAAATACTTTTTGGCCCCTTCTATAGATGAGGAAAGAGTCAGGAAAGTTCAGCATCTGTGTAGTCCCTTTGCTAGTAATGGAGCTGGGATTCAAATGAGGTAGGTATGCTCCAGGGCCTGTGATGAGCCACCGTGCTCCCATCTCTCTGGAATGCTTCCCTCCAGGAAAGAACAAATATGTCTAACACAGTGGACATGAGTAACACATGAGGCCTTACTTAGACACGCCAGTCTGGTCCAAAACCACCTTGCCTCCCCGACAGGAGGGGTAGACTTTGACGAAGAATTCATACAGCATTCCATCATCCACATCTGGGGTCAGGTCCCCCACAAAAAGGGAATACTCGGGGCTGAGAGGAGAGAACAACAGTCAGGGACAAATGACAGGCTCTGCTCTGAAGGACTCTGGCCACAGTGCAGATAAAAATCTCCAGGGCCATCCTAGGAAACACTCCATTTGATCAGTCCATTTAACCTGTTTTCCTCCCCTCTAAGTTTAACTTGCATCATTATGGTTCTAGAAGAAGGACAAAGCCTGTCTGGCTTCATATATTACATGAAAACATGGAGATGGATCAAAGGAACAGCCCTGAAAGGCTGAAAAGATTAAACTTGGCCAGGTGCTAGTGGCTCATGCCTATACTCCTGGCTACTAAGAAGGTGGGAAGTGGAGCTGTGGCTCAAGTGGTAGACTGAAAAAAGTAGAGTGAAAAAATCAAAAAGACAGCACCCAGACCCTGAGATAATGCTTTAGTCCCAGCACACATACAGCCCACAAAATGTTGTTTCGAAAGGCTCAGGGTGGGGCTGGGAAGGTGGCTCAGTAGTAGAGCACTTGCCTTGCATGCATGAGGCCCTGGGTTCAATTCCTCAGCACTACATAAGCAAAAAGATAAAAGCCGGAAGTGGTGCTGTGGCTCAAGTGGTAGAGCGCTAGCCTTGAGCTGAAGAGCTAAGGGAGAGCGCCCAGGCCCAGAGTTCAGGCGTC